TCTCACTCCCTGAGGCCAGAAATCTGAGATCAAGGCAGCTGCAGGGTTGGTTACATCCGGGACTGGAGGGAAAACTCTGACCCTTGCCTCTGGTGTCACTTCTGCTGGTCACTGGCATCTTTGGAGCTGCTCAGCTTACAGGAGAATTATTTACCAGTTAAAGAGATGACTCAGTGGTTAAGAGTAAAGGATGTGCGCCATCACCGCCTGGCTAGGAAATTCTTTAAAATAAAATAATTTAAATAATTTATTTAAATAATTTATTTTAAAACTTAATTTAAAATCTTTGCTTAATCTTTGGACTTGGTCAGTTGTAAATTACAACCTTTGAACAATATAACTTCCTAAGCTCCAGAAATCATACTCATAGGGGCTAGGGAGATGACTCATGACTCAGTGGGTAAAGTGCTTACTACGCCTAAGCATGAGGGTCCTGAGTTCGATCCCCAATGCTGACTGACACAAGCTGCTAAGCTTGGTGTAGTACCTGTAAGCTCAGCACTGCAGAGGGAGGACAAGGAGAGACCCGGAGCTAGCTGGCCACCCAGCCTAGGCAAATTTAGAACTTTAGGTTCAGTGAGAGACCCTTTCTTTTTTTTTAATATTTTTTATTGATACTTATTGAGCTCTACATTTTTCTCTGCTCCCCTCCCTGTCTCTCTCCTCCCCCCTTCAACCCTCCCCCAAGGTCCCCATACTCTCAATTTACTCAGATCTTGTCTTTTTATACTTTCTACTTCCCATGTAGATTAGATCTATGTAAGTCTCTCTTAGTGTCCGCATTGTTGTCTAAGTGAGAGACCCTTCCTTAAAAAAAAGATTGGGGGGTTATAAAGTAGCACAGTGGCAGAGCACTTGTCCAGCATGCAGTTGGTTCTGGGTTCATCCCCCCAGCACCACCAAAAAACAAAATGAACAATACAGTGGAGAGTAACTGAGAAAGAGCTTGACATTGACCTCTGACCTGTGTACACAAAACATATACAGACATTCACACACATGCATGCACACTCAATGAGTACATACATAAATCATATAATAGGTGTTATTAAAGACATTCACTCTTCTTTTTTCTATTATTTATTTATTATTTTATTACTTCCATTCTTACTATTTATTGCTTTTTCGAGATAGGGTTTCTCTGTGTACTCCTGGCTGAACTGGAACTTGCTCTGTAGATCAGGCTGGCCTTGAACTCTAAGAGATCTATGTGCTTCTTCCTCCTGAGTGCAGGAATTAAAGGAGTGCACCACTACTGCCAAGGCTTTTTTCTATTTTTTGAAAACAGAGTCTCATAAATTAGGCATGGTGGCATACATCTTTAATCCCAGCACTCAAGAAGCAGAGAGGCAAGCTCAAAAAAAAAAAAACAAAACAAAACAAAACAAAAAATAACCAACCTGGGCTACATGATGAAACTCTGTCTCAAAGAAACAAACCAAAAACAAACAAACAAATAAAATAGGGGCTAGAGAGGTGGCTAAGTGATCAAGAGCACTTGCTCTTCTTGCAGAGGACCTGCGTTCAGTTCCCAGAACCGCTTCTGGAATCTCACAACTGCCTGTAACTCCAACTCCAGGGGTCTCTGACACTCTGGCAAGGTGGGAAAACCTGCGTTCACACCCATATATCCACACATATACATAGGCATAATTAACATAATAAAATAAATCTTTAAAATTTTCCATTCTTAGGCTGGAAAGATGGCTCAGAGATTAAGGACACTGACTGCTCTTTCGGAGGTCCTGAGTTCAATTCATTGCTCACAACCATCTATAATAAGATCTGGCACCCTCTTCTGGCCTGTAGGCATACATGCCTGCAGAACACTCTATATATAATAAATAAATAAATCTTTTTTAAAAAAAGTTTTCCAGTCTTAAAATTAAAAAAGCTTTTATTCCTACAGCTTGGTTTTCACGCGGCCACCAGAGGGCACCAGGCCACACTGACCACAGCTTGCACTCTCTCCATTGGCAAATCCTCAGGAATGGACACCAATCTCTGCAGGACCTGGTCTCTTATCTCTGACATCATCTGTCACCTGTTCCCTCCTCACCCTGCTGAGGCCATCTTGCTGGGAATCTTGCTTTGTTTGTTTATTCGTTTTGTTTCTTTTGTTTTTTGAGATAGGGTTTCTCCGTGTTACCACCAGGGCTCTCCTGGAACTCTTTCTGTAGACCAGGCTGGCCTAGAACTCACAGAGATCCAGATCACAGAACTCTGTGATCACAGAGGCCTGCCTCTGCCTCCCGAGTGCTGGGGTTAGAGGTGTGTGCCACCACCACCCAGGCTGGAGTCCTGCTTTTGTAGGAACACAGTTAACTCATTCTCTTCTCAATTCCCTCACTCCCTTCACCTTCTATCCTTTTCCTCTTTTCTAAAATAGGATTTCCTGTAGCCTAGGC